CTTGCATTTGCCATTATGGAAAACATCATCCAAAGCAAAAACAACACTATGGATGACTCATAATTATATTGAAATAAATTGTTGGAAGCCTCATCTGTTAATTAAATAATTCCACTGAGGATATTTTTCATATATACATGTATCCACATTAACTGGGCCCAAATGTAATTTACATTATTTGAAAAATCAAGTGAGAAACATGTTCTCTCTAGCCTTCAGTCACAGGAGAAGATTGGAATGATGCAGGAAACATATTTATCTGGCTCTGATTCCCCAAGTAATATATCTTTTGTGTTTGTTGATCTACTGATATACACTTGAGGCCTTTAAGTTAACAGAGTCTAATCTGTCCCTTTGAAAGTCATGGAAGTGTTTGTAGGTCCTTCCCTCAATTTCTGAGATGTCAAATTGGACTGCCCTTTTTACTAGCTTGTCAAAATCCCTTGCTGTAGATCCCTGTGAGTGTTGACCTGAATTTGTTGAGAGCTTGATAGTTTCATCAAGTTTTCCAAGAATTGATCTTGATGACTTTTGAGCATGAGATAGCCGTTGAACAGCCCCCTCTGTCAAATTAGGTCCCAGGTTTTTGATACCTTGCTTGGTGAAATTATTACTATGTTCAGTATCTTCATCCAGTGGAATGTTTGCACCCTTTTGACCAGTATTATTTACTGATTGGTTCCAAGTAAACCGTTCAGAGTCCCTTGGTGACAACACAGCATAAACAAGAAAAAACTGGTACAAACATTTGAGAGCATACTTAGTGCTGTGTGCCCTATCTGCTTTGCAGTAAAGCATAAAATATTTATACTGCTGTAAAATTCTTGCCCCATCCCCTTCTTTGATTCCATCAAGGACATTAAAAAAAGAAAACTGTCAGTCAACAATGAACAGTTGTAGTTGAATACATCATCGCTTTCCTTGGTTTCTTTTGGAGGTGAAACAGGCTTTGAAGGGGTTAGGGTTGGGGGTTCGTCTTCAAGCTGTACTGGTGATTCATGGGAAAGTTCATGACTTCTCCTGCTCGTTCCATTGTACTTAAATGATATGTCACAACCAGGAAACCTGCATGGAAATCTTCCTTCTGGTGTTAGTTCTTGTTGTTGTAAAAGATTATCCTTTCCTTGCTGGGTTAAAACACTGTCTATAATGTCATTCACCACTGAACTGCTCTGGGACACAAATTCATCAACAACCTTAGCAGCAAGCTCATGCAAACATTCAAGCTTTTCTGATTTTCTCAACAGTTCAAAATTTGGTAATTGATGCTTTGTAGGCATGCCTGACTGGTCTTCAAACCCAACACTTTCATAGCTGCTGCAATTACTCTGGATTGGAAGACAACAGACAGAAAGTCCCTGTTTGCATGGTGTGATGAATGTGTGTCACCAGTCACATTCCTCCTGTTGATAAGTGTATGGTCTGCAAACATAGTACAGGTATCCACATCAGACTTTCCACTGAAGAATCTGGAATATATGAGCTGTTGGAAAACAATTACAATAAACTGTTACTAATAACAACAAAAAGAACCACAATAATAATAATAATAATAATAATAACAACAATAACAATAATGATGATGATGATTATTGTTGTGGTGGTTATTATTGTTATTATTATATTTTGTTTTTGAAAGAAATAAAAATAGAAATAAAAATAACTGTATTATTGTTGTTGTTATTATTATTATTATTATTAGCTACCACAGAAATGACTATCAATAAAATTCCTTGTTCTTTTGTTGTATTTGAGTGTTAAAATGTATCCTACTGCATTGATGGTGTAACACTTGTGAAGAAGGCCTATTTAAACCAGGTTGATGTTTATTTTCCATTGCTTTATACTCATTATGATAAATATCGGAAACAATGGAAAATAATAAACATCAAACTGCTTTAAAAAAAATTAAGAGTCACTGACTGAAAATATTGAGAATGGCTGGCCAGGATAGAAAAATCGAAGATCCTGAAACTTTGCCTAAAGAACGCTTTTAGGGAGCCACTTTCGAAAATATTATTCCGATTTTCTTAGA